TCCACTTCCTTACCCTCCTTCACTATTCTGCCTACAGCCATTTGTCTCAGCCTCTCGCATTCATAAACCTTGCTCTCAGAGAGGTTACCAAGGATCTCAGTGTTGCAACATCCAATGGATTTTGATTTAAAAAAATTTTTTTAAATTTTCATATAGCTAAACATTTTGGTGCGGTTGACTATTCATCCTTTTTAAAGCACTGTCCATATTGGTATCCTTGATGTTTCAGTGTCCATGATGCTACCTCCCTACTTGGATGTTCCTCTTCAGTTGTCCTCTTCAGTTGTCCTGTTTCCTTGCCCAGTCTCTAAACATTGGACTTTTTCATGGCTCCCTCTGGAATCCTCTTCTTTTCTCACTCTATATGCTCTCTGGCTTTAAATACTATATCACTATATCTGTCATTCCCAAATTCATATCTTGGCTTTTGACCTCATTTATGAGTTCCACATATATTTCTAGTGTCCCACTCTGAATTCTCACAGACATATCAAACTCAATGTCTGTCAAGAAACAACTTCTCTAGTTTTTCTCATTGTACTAAATGGTACCTGCATTGATTTGGTTATACAGAACAAGAACTTCATTCATTCAACAAATATTTATTAAGTATTTCTTTTGTGCCAAGTGTTATTCTGGGTGTTGGACATACAGCAAAAGACTAATTTTATCTTTTCATTTTTCTCATCCTCCATATCCAAAAATCCATCATCACATCCAGTTCACTGCCCAAACTTTCTCAAATATCTCCTCTTCTCTCCATCTCCACTGCCCCCACCAGCGTCCAAGTCACTCTGTAGATTTGCTTATAGCACTCACCAAAGTATATTCCTCCCTGGAATACAGAAATCCCCTCCTAAGTGGCATCCCTACTTCCAACTTCGCTCCTCTCCTAGCCCTTTCTACGTAGAAGTCATAAATAATCACTGAAAATGCAAATCAGCTTATGCTACTGCTTAATAGTCCCCGTTGCACTTAGAATAAAAGTCTAATCCTTACTAGGGGCAACAAGCGTCTGTCACTGCCTGACTTTCTAAGTGCATGTTTCCTCTGGTTACCATGCTGTAGCCACAATGGTACTGTTTTGTTTCCCAATGGCACCAGCATCTATTTCATTTCTTTTTCTGGAATGATCTAAATTTTCATCATTCACATCTCATCCTAAATACTAATTTTTTTCACAGATGTCTTACCTGACTTCCAATTTATGTTCTTATTGTAACTTGCTCGTTTTCTTCATAGTGATCATAAGTTTACAGTTATATTTTTATTTCTGTATTTATTTATTATCTCACCAGCTAAACTGTAAAATCCATGAGAGTAGAAATCTTGTCTGTTTTGTTCATTTTAGACCCAACATTTAGCATAATACCCGATATGTAGTTGCCATTCATTCTATATTTTTTAAGCAAATGAGTGAATCATTTTAAGTAAATTTGCAGAAATGTCGATTTTTCTACAATCATCTAAAAAGAGATTGTGTTTCAACATCCATGCTTCCTGTTTTTGATTAACAATCCATCATGGATATAAATTAATCAATATATAGCTAAGAACAAAAGTAGTGTAAAAAGTGTAATATAGTCAGCCTGACCATGGCAAGGGAGCGATGAACTGACCATGTGAAGACTTGAGGACAGGGTATCGGACTTTGCTTAAGCCACACAGGCTCCCTGGATGGTTCTTGAACTTGCTCTCAGTCACTGTGGCAGGCGCATGAGTCCCAAGTGCCTTTCCTTTTTCCATTCACGGAAGTTTTTTAGTTGATTTGCTTGAATTTTCCAGTCATACAATTACATCTTCTGAAATAATTTTGCTTTCTTTCTAATTTTCCGAATTCTCCATTACCACACCCATCATTTCTGATTCATGAGAAAATATTGACTTTCTTTCTTGAGCAGCTGAACTCTCTAGAGATCCTGTGAAAATCAATTCCTTTAGGACATACTTAGGGATCTTTTTTCAATTACTTAATTGGAAATTTTTAATAAGGTCACATTCACCAAGTTTCCACTCTTTATTCACTGTATGTTGACTTGTACAGTCTAAAACAAGTGAGAAGGCACAATTTCTGTTTAGCACTTATGACCTATTTAGACACAGTTTTTGATTCTTAAATGGTCCATTTGATTTTATTGGCATTTTGTATTTGTTACTTTGTTTAAGAACACAAAGACTGTTTCCTAGCGGAAGGAGAGAAGTAGCAAGAAAGACTAACTTGTGATTCTCTAAGGTAAAATTCTTTTTCCATTCTAGGAAAAAAAAAATGAAATGAAAGTAAATGGGAGCAAACATACAATAAATGACATATATTTCTTAAATTTAGAATTTAAGAAAACTCTTTTGAATAATAATAGGAATGGAAGTATTTAAGAATTAAGTATTAAGACTGCCAATTTTTAAGACTGCTCACACACACACTCACACGGGCACACACAGAGGCACACTCACGCTCTGTGCCCAGGTGTCATTTTTCTTGGTGCAGGTGTGTCTCGAGTGATATGGCAACGGCACCGGCTTCCATTACTGCTTAACTAAATGGGCCATCTCTTCAGGTCTCCATCTGCTATTGGCAGGACTTTTCTTTCCCTGAAGGAAACATTTACTTGAAATGATTAACCCTGTGTTTAAGTACTGTTTGCCCTTGTGATCTAAGTGCCCTTGTAGTTTCCTAGCAGTTCACAGTTCTGTCACTTTGGACCTGGCCTCACACTTACTTCCACTCCCCAGGCACTTCTCCTAGAAACTGTGAACTTTGTCTTCATATTTATCTTTTTCTTTGACTATAAAATTTTAAGGGCAGGGACCGTGTTTGTCTCATCCATGCATCCTCTACAAGACTTGACATGATGTCTTATACGCAATACAAGCACAATAGCGTTTTTTATTTGAATTTTTGTGTATATATCTTGTCTCTGGAACTACTGTCACGATGGCAAGGGCAGTGATTTTGTCCGGTAGAAATTTGTCTGAAGGTCCTGTTCACCTTTGCAAAGTGGTTCCGGTAAGACAAAGAAGGCTTCCGTTGTGCATAGTTATCCTCGGTTAAAAATACCATCCTGGCTGTTACTTAACCTCCAGACTTGCTGCAAAAGCTTGCTTCCTCTCTCTACTCTTGCTGTGGATCCTGACCCGCTGCCTTCTGCTCGTATTCTGCTGCCTGCTGTGCTCTGATCTTTTCACTTTCCAACCACAGTCCACTTGACTGAGTAGTTACCTTTCCCGGACCAGGCCAGCCTCACTTGTCGTTCCTGAGCTGGAACCCTCGGGCACCACCACCATGGCTTTCTCAGTCTTCACTCCCTCACTCCCTGTCAGGGCTTTCCAGGCCGAGAGCTCATTTAGTCTGACTCAGTCCCTGAGTCAACTGCCCCATGTGTGCTGGCTGCCACAAAGTCAGCATTCTTGCCTAATTCTTAGTAAACAGTGTTCTCGCTGCTCCAGTTTTCCTTCCCTTCCCAACCCTGCCTCACATTGTTTTTCATGACACCTTCCAGCGATCGCCAGCACCTAACACGATGCTGTTTGTGTGGAAGGCATCCAATATATTTTCACAGAGCAAATGCTTATAGTAATGGTGTGGATGGTTAGGGAAACTCCCTTCAGCTTCCACCCCCAAACTCCAAATAATTTTAGTCATTGACTTGTGCTTAAAACCCCTACATAAGTGTGAGATAGTGAACTGGGATCCGGGTGACTTGAGACCAAGTTTTCTCCTGCCAAACTAACTTATTTGAGTGAAGTTCGAAGTTCCGTGCAAAATGAAGTGCATTAAACATCAGCTTAATCCTCTAGTAAATAAAATTTTCAGAGTATTTATTTCATGTAAGTAATATTTTCTTAATTGGGTTTTCTTCTTGATTTATCATTTTCTTGGGCATATTTTGTTTTCCTTTAGCTGATCCATTGCTTCTTTCATATTCCAGTTATCCACTGAGACTCCACCGAGCTTAAGGGATGTTATTTCTTTTGCTTTCATATCTGTTGATGGCACTATTGTAGGGATGTGTCTCAAGGTTTTCAATTGCTTTAACGTTCTCTACCAAAACTCATTTTCTGCTTTCAACTAAAAAGGAAGTTGTTCTTCATATGTAAGAGAGAAGTTGTTCCTGTGTAGGGAGACAACTTCTAACTTGATTTTGAAGGTCCTTTGGGAAAATGTCCATTGATTTATTGAGAACTGCTAAATCCAATCAATGCTAATCACACATGATAGTTATAAAGATGTTTGTCACAGCTTTCCTTTTCAAGGAATTTATAACCTGGGAGCAATGACTTGTCCACGTATTTATAACACAAGTTGTATTTAACACTTCTCTTTTTTTTTCCCTGAGGAAGATTTGTCCTGAGCTAACATCCACTGCCAATCTTCTTCTTTTTATATGTGAGCTGCCGCCACGGCATGGGCACTGACAGAGGAGTGGTGTAGGCGTGTGCTCAGAACCAAATCTGGGCTGCCCAAGGGGAGCATGCAGAGCTTAACCATGAGGCCATGGGCCTGGCCCACACATCATCTTTTTTCTAGAATTTATTTCACTGTTTTTCTTTCTTGTCTCTTGGATGCTGCCTTTAAAAAAAACAATCTTCCTCGTCAGTTGTTAGACGAATATTATGTAGGAATTAATTTACAGCAGTGATATGTTCTAAATTGAATTACTATTATTGATTTTGCCTGCATTTAGCTTTTAATTTCCTGTGATAGACTTCGCTGTTTTCCAGAGTTATCAGTCACTAGTATACAGTGGACCCCCATGGATGCCTGAAACCACAGATAGTACCGAACCCTGTATATACGATCTTCTTTCCTATACATACATACCTGTGATAAAGTTTAATTTATAAATTAGACACAGTAAGAGATTAAAAACAATGGCTAATAGTAGAATAGAGTAATTATAACAAGATACTGTAATAAAAGTTGTCATAGATCTTAGCAACCCCAGCATACGACTTTTTTTCTTTTCTTATCAAGTTGAGAACTTTCATCTTTTCACTTAAAGGAAGCACTTCACGGCTTCTCTTTGGCGTATCTGAACTGCCCTCATCACTACACTTGCACTTTCGGGCCATTATTAAGGAAAATAATGGTGACTTGGACACAAGCACTGCCTACTGCGACAGTTGATCTGATAACAGAGACGGCTACTAAGCGACTGAAAGGTAGGTGGCACGTACAGTGTGAATACACTGGACAAAGTGTAATTCATTTCCTAGGCAGGACGGAGTGGGGCAGCCCAAGGTTTCATCACAGATTTCATCACACTACTCAGAATGGTGTGAAATTTAAAACTTATGAATGGAATAGTTTATTTCTGGAATTTTCCATTTAATATTTTTGGACTGCAATTGACCACAGGTAGATGAAACCATGTAAAGCGAAACCTCAAATGAGGGGGGACTACTGTATTCTGAAATTTACAGTAGAAAACATGATCCCTGTATATTCTTACATCTGTTACTCCAGTAGGGGAAAATTTGGAACTTAAAAAACCAGCTCTTTGACTCAAAATCAGCTTTTTCCACTTCACCACGAATGCTTTGCAATGCCATATTATGCCCTAAAGTGGTGATCTTTGATGATAAATTTTTGGTAATAACTCGTTTGCTATTGTGAAGCCAGTTAGGAGTTTTTTGCCTCATAAAAATGCACATGTGCACATACATCTAAATTTTGCATACAATTTCAGGCGTGTTTTTGGACACTCTGAAGCCCATCCATGAACTCTCTCTGCAGAGCTGCTCTAAATTCATGTAACTGGGCTCCTGAGAGCACAAGGTTGAGCTTGACATTAGTGAACCCACTGATTATTATTTGAATCGTAATTCTTCCATATCAGTGCCAAGGAAACGATGCTAAGGGAACAAAAATGGGATCAATTTGAGATTTATAAAACAGGAAACAAGAAAGGGAATAGTCAAAAGCCACAGTAGAATTATTTGTAAAGAGGTATGACATTTGATACATCCTAGATATGATAAAGAACAGAAGAGATTGTTTTTCTTTAAGAAGAAAGATTTGCAGTTCTCACTCTGTCAGTAATTCAGTATGCAACGGAGATATTCGTAACAGAGGACTGAATAAAGAGAAAAGAGAAGGAAACGGGCGGGGAGAGCCTTCCGAATCGTTGAATCATTGAAACGTTTCAGAGGAGAGATGCAACCAGTGGAGGACCAATAAAATGTCATCCTTATCAAAGCTTCCTTTTGTTTATTATGTATTACTATTTGAGGGATTTGCTTAAGTAATAAATACCACTAATTCAGAACTCATTTCACTACTATCTCCACAGATAGTAAGGACCTACAGATCTCATCATTACACCCCCAAATTTCGAATATGAATCAGGCAAAAACAATCCACAAGTTACGGGTAGCTTTTAAACTATTGCTTGCACGTCAGCATTTCCAATGCCGTGTATCTTCTGTGTCAACCATATAATTTTCTTTCACTAGGATGGCAAAATTCTCATGTTTTAAACTGTTATCAAATTTGATTACTGATTAAGTTTGGAAGCTTGAAGTGAATCTGAAGTGTGAAAATTTACAGAAATTTATCAAATGTTCCTGATTTTAACCAAAGTGTATGCAGGTCTTCCATGTAGAAATGACACTTAAACCAAGTTTTACGGGTTGTCGTGACAAAAGGAGTAGTGTTCCGTGAGGAAGGGTTTGAGCTGGATCATATTTGCAGTTGTCCTGGCAACATGACAATCTGACTTCATGAATGAGGTGTCACTTTGACAGTTAAACTGGTTTTAAGATGATTGGACTTCTACTGGAGTATGTGTGTATATATACACCAATAAGATAAATAAGGAAAAGGAGGATGGCATTTAGAAGTCAAAGAATTTCACTGTACCATTACTGGGTGGGGACGGTTGAACTTGGGAACAGGGAGAAAGTTACCATGCAAACGTTACTGCACTTGGCTGTGCAAACAGGAGTGCCCTATTGTGTGGTAACCACGTTTTGTTTCGTCATTCTTATCAGGAATATCAACTGGAGCACAATCTAGAATCACACCAGGAGTATGTGCAGGTTTCTGACAAAGGAGTTTTGAAGGAAACAGCTTCAAGCTAAATGGATTCTGTACAACAGAAAACAGCTCTTCAAACAGCATCGCTGTCATACATGGACAACTACAAATACATCTCACCTCTCTCAGGGCAGCTGTGAATGTAAATTTCAACGGTTAATGTTAAGTTACTGCTTACAAACTATGCAGACATCTAAGTTGAAATACGAATTGAGTGATTTTGCTTTCATCAAGGAGCAATTTTCCATTACCTTCAGTAATATTTCCTCAAAATAGAAGTTTGATGAAAGGAAATGAAAGTAAATGAGATACTGCAGATTTCTCATATAAGTGTATGTGTGTATAAAACTCTTTCTGTTGTCTTCATGTGTCTTTATGTATGCCATGCCATACTTTTAAACCAGGACTTCTTAACTCTGGTTCCATGGTTCAGAGGCTTTTGGGGTTCAGTGAAACAAAATTTGTGGTTATAAGCACAAACTCTAGTTCAAACTCTGATTCTTCCATTTACTTAGCTTGGGCACATAACTTAACCCCATCTATGACTCAGTTTCTTCGTTTACAAAATGGAGATAGTAATAGTCTTTAGTTCATAGGGTTGAAGATTAGAGAGTTAATTATGTATAGTGCTTAAACAATGCCTACCTGGTTGGTAAATTAAATTTGGTATTAGTTATCACATGTATTAACAATTAACATTGTTTTTATTTACTAGTGACTACTGAAATATTGATTTCAAATATTTATTACTTTTAAATTAAAAGAAGGCCTATTTTAACTTCCTCACATTTGTCTCATCCATGCAATTTATTTAATGACAAACCTAAATTTACATTTAGCAGAATTTTGGCACCTACGTGAATTACACGAAGGAAGGTAGTGGTCAAGGGGTTTATTTATTTATGTAGGGTCTTGAGGAGAAATTATCCTGTTGGCTAACCAAGTGAAAATTTTGCTCAAAATTCAATTGTAGAGTTTGAAATTGGGGAAATTCTGTGGAAAATAATCTTCAAGACAAAGATTGTTTCGTTCATGACGTTAGTCATTCTTATCAGGAATATCAGCAGAAAGCTGAGTCTTGAGCAGCATCCAACGTCCTTTGCAGGGAAAGTTTCAAGCCTCTTTGTAGGGCTTCTTGAGGCACCGTTGATTTAGAAAACATGGATTGTTTGCCTTTGCCTTCTAGATATGAGCACTATGGGGGATCTTTATGGATTTCATCTGCTGCTGTATCCTCAGCACCTAGGGAAGTGCCTAAACTTAGTACAAACTCATTAGCTATTTGTTGAATGAATAAATTAATAAGCTCTTAAAGTCAGTATTACGGGTTAGGGATAGAGCAACAATTAAGCCCTCATAAGGTATAAGCAAAAATTGTTCACATCAATTTTCCATCTCCATTCTTCTTGTCTAAAGCAAATATGTCTTCTTTCCTTAAATAAATAAATAATAAAATATTTGCCTCGCAGCTCATGGCAGTCCAAGATAGGTATTGTCTGCCATATAGTTCCTGCTTCATCTGGCTAGATTTGTCAATACTATAGACTGATAGATCAAGAGAGGTGTCCAGTATTCACACTAGGATTTTTTCCCTTTCTACTTAACCAAACCATCCTAAAGCTGCACATCCAGACAATATCATCATGGCCGTATCTGAACCTGCTTGGTTGACTGTCAGGTTGACATGGTATCTGTAGGTATCACTGACAGGATAGTTGGAATTTGCACACACTCATATGTGGGAACAACATGTCCCTTTTCCTATCACTTGCATCCACTGATGTCATGGAATCAGAGCTTTGTCCATTTCAGGTATAATGGCATGAAATACGTGTTAGGACAAATCGTTACCATCTGTTGTATGGTCTAGTATGTTCCAACAATGTTACATGCACAGATATTACTCAACCCTTACAACACCTCTCTGTGATATGTCTTGTAATTCCCATCTTACAAATGAAAAACACGGCTTTGAAGGAAAAGTAAGTCATCCCTGTTGACACCGAAACTAGGAGACAGACAAGGAATTCAAACACAGGCCTGCTGACTCTAAAGTTTGTGTGCATTATGCTTTGTTAGGATACCTATGAATGCTCTGTGATTTCCTCCAATTCTTGAGCTCATTGCTATATTTCTCTCTCAAAGTCTTAATTTTCACCTCATTCTGCCACTCTTTATACCCGTACATACCTTGTTGAACACTGTGCCCATGTAGAAAGCAAAAACCCAGGCTGGAGCTGAGCTATTGCCCGTGGTAATCAGCTGTATCTGAGACTATGTTCCGATCAGATGTCAAATCACCCCAGAAACACCCTAGAGAGACTGTGGAACTATTCATAATTACCACAAATTGAAAGTGATGAGAAAATTGGTGCTATTTCCTTGTCAATCTCTAGAAAGATTATTATGCTCTCTACTTACTACCAGATAGTTTTTAAAATTCTTACTGTGAAAATTTATTCCACAACCTTCAACATTAGTTCTCAATCTTTGTTTTGCAACACTCCAGTATGCTTCCAATTATTTCAAGAATTGTTGTAAAGTTCTTAATTTCCAAACAAAATTAAATGTGATTAAACTTTGTTTTAACATTTTATTTTGGGAAATTTCAAACATATTCAATGTAATAGAAGAGTAACAAATCTCTAGGTACCCATTGATCCAGGTTCAACAGTTACCAATGAATATCAAATCTCATTTCATTTATATCCTCCTACACCTCCCCCATACCCACCCCATGGGTATTTTGTAGCAAATTTTAGATGTTGTATCATATCATCCTGATTAAGCTTTATTTTAAATTAGAATGTCATAGAAACAATTGGGTAAAGAAAAAGAATAGGACAGGAACACAGGAACAATATGAAACAAAACCCAGTAAAATGCAATGAAAACTGCTCATTTTTGTTTTACTCCAAGGAGCCAAAAACCACTTCTCTTTTTATTGATTTTGTACAGAAATCAATATTTAATACGTTTCTTGATGATGATTAGGATGATGATGACTTCCCTAAAATGTGTGGCAGATAATTCGTCAGTGGACATCAGACACTGAGGGAGATGAGAGACTAGATTGTATCAATCTCCAGATGGTAAGAAACTGGGACTCATAGATGACTTTGTGTTATCAGGCACTATTTTGTTTTTTCATTAACGACCAAATCAAGGGGGCATTTCTTTAGAGTGTACTTTGGGAGATGGTCTTGGCAGTAAAACTCTCTTTTATGTTATATTCAAGATAATCTCTGTAGTATCCAAACAACTCCCACATTGAAACTATTAAGAATGATAAAGGAGGTCTTTTAGCTCTGAGAACAGAGCTGGACCTTTGTTATGCCTTCAAATGTCAAGTTATTGAAATAAAGATTTCTTCTTAACATGAATTTCAATGGTAATAAAAATACCTTATTTACTTTCCAGCTCTTTTTATTTTGTAGAATGTCTATTCAAAGAATGTTTCTGTTCTTATCAATGGCATTGAAAATACATATAAATTGGTTAGTAATTTAGCACATCACAAAGTCAAATAGAAGAAAATATTCAACATCATCATTATTATTTTTCGTATATTCATTTCAATCTCAATATAAAACATCAATGTGAAATCTGGGCAAATCTGTGCCTTATTAATATCCAGTATTAATTTCAGTGTTGTGATCTATTGTGAATCAACAGCCGTCAGTTCTTAATAATGCAATAAGGAAATTAGGTTATACATCAGTTAATACATATAGAAAAATATCTTTTTACATTTTATAGGAATTTTTGTAATGCCCCAATTCAAATCATAATAGCTTTGGTTGAAAAGTAGAGTAACTGGTATTTTGCTAAATATTTTGACTTTATAATTTAAAGAAAATGGCTGGGTCTAGATATTAACATACTCTTAAATGAAAGTTTGTGTTCATCTTTGGCATTTTTATTTTAAAAGAATACTTTTATAACTCAAATCTGCCCAGATAAATTGAGTAAAGTTAAGTAAGGATATCCAGTAGTCTAGGGGATCTCAACCTTTAGCTCTCAAAAGAATCGCCTGGCAGTCTTATTAAAACACAGCTTGCTGGGCCCACCCCTACAGTTTCAGGTCCGAGAGAGCTGGGGAAGGCCTTAGTAGTTTCATTTCTAACAAGTTTCCAGGTGATGCTGATGCTGCTGGTCCAGGGACCACACTGTGAGAACCACTGTGGTAGACTAATCTGTTCTAAGAATGCAGTGTTTAAAATTATAGTCATAGGAAAAGGTACTTTTTAAATTGGGTGGTGCACAGGAAAGATATCAAGAAGATAGATGTTGCCACTAATTCTAATACTTTCCCTAGTCACCACACTCCATCGCTCTCTAGGACTTCTATTTCTCATCAGTTATTACACATCTTTTCTCTCTCAAACATCCCCAAACCCCTCAGCCTGTCCTCACCCTTAGCTGATGAAAATGCTTTAAATTTACCTGAATTAATTAAAGAAATCAGAAGAGAACTTCATCCTCCATATGCTACCATATTTACCAGCTGGCACACCCTTGTACTCATGTATTTTAATTTTCATCTTGATACAATGGGTGCACTCTCTCTGTTCCGACCTATAGCTGTCCCCTCCATTCAAGCGCTGCAGCTCACTCTCACCTCCTCTAGAATTTGCTCCCACAATGATTTCTTTCCCTCTCCTGGTTTTCTTATCTCACTTGCGTCTCCTTTACAGTCTGCTTTTCTGGATTCTCATTCTTTTATCAACCTTAAAGGTCAGACTGGTTCCTAGATCCTTATAAAGTATGTATGAGGATGATTCACTGGGGAAAGAAAAAGAGAAGCATCAACCCATTGGACCCTATCCTCTTTGGCCAAGGGCTGCCCCTTAAACCATCAGCTCCCCTGCACTCTATATATTTCAACAATCTCTATGTATATTTCAAAAATAATATGTTGAGTTGCAAAGGGATACCTACAGTATGATATAATTTATCATATTTGAAAAACACACAGAACAATAGGGCTCATTGTTTATGGAGGCATCTATATGTAGTAAATGAGCAAAAACATACATAGGAATTACTAACAAAAACTTCAGGATGGAGGAAACTATTTCTAAGTATGAAAACAGATGGAAAGAGGAAGGATTTCCATATTTGTAATAGTTCAGTTTTAGAGAGAGAAAAAAGAAAGGGGAGAAAGCAGTGAGTGGGAAAAAGATAGCGAGGGGGCGAGTGAGAGGGAGAGCACAAAAGATCGTTTTAATCCTGACGGTAGACACCTAAGTGCCTCCTGTATGAATTTTTATACGTTGCTTTTTTCCATAATAAAAAGTACTCTATAAAAACTTAACGCTATGTTTACTTTTGTTAAATGGGAAAGGCTTCATTAATACTAGCCAGTTGCTTCATTGCTACCAAGGTGCAGACATCTTTCGTAAAACGTGGAAGAGATCAACACTGCCAGTATGGAAACAAGGGATTTGGGACCTTAATTCTCTTATCTTTTTAAATTATTATTGAAGTATAATTGATATACAATATCCTATTAGCTTCAGGTGTACAGCATACACCTGAAATGTGATTTGGTATTTACGTACACTATGAAATGTTCACTGTGATCAATCTAGTTACCACCTGTCACCATACAGAGTTATTACAATATTATTGATGATATATGTCAGTATATGCTTGATCTATATATGTCTGTTTTTAGTGTTGCCTTTCAGAGTTCAGTATAAATTTCCACAATTTTGCTGTCCGATAATGCCTCGGGGTGCGAGTCAGAGTTGGGCATGTGCTTTCTTTTTTGAAGGTGCTGTAATATTTCTCTCCATCACCTGGTTTTCCTTTAGGCTTGAAACAACGTAATGATTAGAGCACATCTTTCTGGCTACAGTTCTAACAGACTCTGACGAGACTTAATCCACTGTGATTGGAGGACATAGAACTCTGCACGCATATGCCTAGTCAGTCTCCTTCATTATGTGCAGCCCGTTAGTCTAATTTTTGAAAGAACATCTAATTTCAAAGTTACTTTTGGGGGGGGGTACGTCATTGTCGTTCCAACCTACTTATATATCTCACCCAACTTGAGAATGTTGACATAGATCTTTATGTTCATAATCGTAATTAACGGTAGAAAAATCATATGTAATTTTTATTCCTTAGTTTCAGAGTCACTTTTCCATCTGCTAAGAAGAGATGGATGTCAAGATTATCTTTTACAATATGAAATTTGAGGAAACAAAGGATGCAAGAAGGAAAAGAAGAGAGAGAAAGCAAACTGCCACCCTCATGGTCCAAGATCACAGTAAAAGATAATTTTCTAGGTAATGTGAAATAAACAATGATCTTTTAGTCTGGCTAAGAAGTTCCAAACATCAGGATTAAGAAGAAAAAAAATGTAAATCCACCTAGAACAATTATCTGTGTTGAGAATGCAGACAAAGAGAATATTTTAGAGTTTGGTTTATTGCTGAAAGAAATTTTCACTGGGAAATCAAAGGGTAAGATTTTGAGTTTAGTCTCTAGCAGCGTGAGGCTGTTATATATATTTTTTAACTCACCAACACCAGTCACTAGGGGGCAGAAAGCAAGATCCTCCTTGTATTTCTCTGGGTAAAGCAGTTATTTTGGTTTCTTTCTTTGGTTTGCCATTTCTCCAGAGAGTTTTACTAGACCCTCAGGAAAAAGGCTTTAGTGCCATGTTCACTCAGCATCTTTACTGAGTTCTCAACCTTCTCAAGGTCTTGTCTTAACTTTCTGGCACAAGTAATTTTTCAGCTCTCTAGGCAATGCTCCAAGTTCATTCAACTGCACCACGATTCCTAATCCATTGCCCAATCTCCTTTTCACCATCCATCCTGCCATCCTACTTTCATTTCATTGTTTCACATTCTATGATCAGTCATTGTACTCACCCTCAGCTTCCTTGCTGCTCTCTCCTGAAGTTCTTGCCCCAAACTCCAAACCCAATTAAATCCATCTTTCTACCTGTTCTCCACCTGCACCTGAGCAGCCCTGTGGCTACAGAACAACTCATGGCTACACTGACTGGTCACGGATTAAATTGATGACAAACATGAGGTGGGCCCTCAGTGTTCTCCAGAAAACTTCCTGCTTCCCCCGGGTCAGTCCTGTCCCCTAGATGGTTATTTGACACCTTTTCTTCATCTTCAAACTACCAGCGTTGCCTCTCCCCTCCTCGCTCTCAGCTCATCATGTTGCTTCTTTTCCTCTGAGAAAATACAGCAATGAAAAACAAGTTTTTTGTTTTCCCGCTTCCGTATCCACCTCCCTACCTACACCAGTTCCTGTACTCTGCCTTTCTCTTGTAGGATCTTCCTTGACAGCCCCATCAAAGAGTGCTCCTTGACCCCAGCATTCTATCCCCTTGTTTTATTATTCTCCATAGTATTTATCATCGGCTGGCATATTGCATATTTAGAATGGAAACTCCATGAAGGCAGAAACTTTGTCTTTCTTTAATAGCTTCTGAAACATGTAGTAGATGTCCACTAATATTTATGAAATGAAGAAATGAAATGCTCTGTCGCCTCCTTGGAGCATCTGCTCTGATTTGATTTGTACTGACCCAGGGTACTGACACCTTCCCATGGGGAAGGGCGTAGTGTGAGAATTAGGAAGTTCTCTTTTGCAACATGAGTCAGAACTTTGCTGATCCAAGATGTTCCACTGGTTCCTTCTTAATGAATTTATTTTTCCCTCACAGGCCAATTCATTCACTTTATTCCCACCCTTGCCACAATGTTCTGATGTTAGAGTTGATAGATTATCTCCTGTTGTGTAAGGGCTTCACTCCATACATGCACACATACTTTCACGATTGCTCAGCAAGCTTGACAGCATTGGATTGATTTTGTCTTTGAAAATTATATGTAGGAAGCACATTATTTGAATGTTAACATAATAAAGGGAACATCCTTATGTTAAAAGTCGTTTGTGGCTTGGGGTCAGTAGATCTGGCATACAGTCCCTCCTCTGCCACTAAATTCCTGGAGGATGTTGGGTAAATTAGGTACTACCTCCTAGTCTGTCTTCTTATCTATAAAATGAATAAATTGGTTAACTTTCAAGCTATGTTCCTATATGACATTGGAGAGACACAGACGCTTGATAATCTTGGTCTCATTTACAAAATCAGTGGTTTATAAAGGGGATATGTAGGTAGTAGGTGATTAACTAAGTGGTCATAGCCCCATGTGGGAGGCGCACTGCCATGGATGCCTGAAAGCTCATCCCGGGCTTTCCATCTGGGAGGTGTGTACAGCTTGGCGGGAAAAGAACGAGGAGCTCTTGCTGGACACGATGGAACCTCCGCCCTAGTTGATGCAACTCATCCACTCTTCCTTCATTTCAGCGTGAGTCAGGCTGAAACTGGTTTCCCAGCTTCCAGTGTGACACCCAATCCATGAAGTAGCTGTACTTCTGTGTCTTGCCAGTCCTGGTCTGGGCATGTACACAAGGTATGTGGACATTCTTCTTGCATATCTTGAGCGGCATGGACATTGTTCTTACAATCTCTATTAAAAACCCATTCTCAGTTTTCGCTGCAGCTCTTCATGGCTCCCCTGACCAGCAATATCAACCAATACCTATTGGTTTTTTGCAAATTGTCAGCTGTGAGCTTCCTACTTGGCATGGCAAGAATGAGTTAGAGGTGTCTCAAGATATTGATGGCTTCAGCTCGCAATGCAGCAGGACAGGGCCTAGCCTGGCCAGTCTTTGGACCAGTGACCTTTGGCCATGAGTACCATACAAAATGGTCTTTTTCTACGTGTTCTATTTTGTCAAAGAGGTTGGGAAACATTGGAGTAGATTGGTTAATATATTTATCTAAAAACATGCTTTGACTGCCTAATATGGGGATCTGGGAATATATCCTGGAATATAGAGATGAATAAAACTCATACCTCACTGGCATCTGAGTGACACATCATTTCTAAAGTTCTATCATGTATTTTCCTTACTTCAAAATTGCCAATTTGGGCAAAAAGATAATTATATCAAAGAAGGAGTAGAGATGACTGAGTGTGGAAACTACAGAATATGGAACTTATCAAAGAAAACATTGGTGTTCTTACTACAACTCAATATTAATAATCATTTATCTCCTGAGGACACATTTCTATGTTTGCTTTCCTTCCATTGGCTATCTTTCAAGCTATGCCTCGTCACATTAACTTCATAAGGGTTTTAAGTAAAAAATGTTGTTTTTATAAAAAGGAAAATATGTAATTTTTACTTGTTAAAAATAATCAGAAGTTAATTCATATACAAATTAGCTCAAAAGTTAGCCACAGTTCCATATTGCCAATATTATTAAGCATTACAAATAGATTAAATATCACAAAATGCTTCTTAAGAACTGCAAATAAGTGATTGGGTTATAACCTAAATGATAAAGTGATCCTTAGCATCTCCACAAAAACAGAAAACCACCACCATGCAGTCGCATCCTCAGAACCTTTATTAAGATTATTAGCTCTTCTTAGCACTGTATGCTCTCTCTAAGAGAGAGTTGTTTATTGATATGATGCTTGGAAATCACAGCAGATACCCAAGAATAATGAAGTTTGGCAACAGATTGCAAAGTCTTAAATGAAAATGTGGCAGTTCTACATGAACACAAACTATCTCCAGACAATTAAAAGAGCACACATGTTTGTATTTTACACACATCCATCAAAAAATGCTGAAAACGGTTTAAAATATTTTTGACAAAATAAGACTTTTTAACAATCAAAACTAGATTTTACATATGTACATTTTATTTAAAAATAGTAAGTTTATAAATCTGAGCATGGACTTCTTTTAATGACGGTTCTGGAAGGTAAGTATTCTATTATACTATATTTAGCAAGAGCATTCTCAAAAATAGTGATACAAGATCTGCTTTCTCTCTCTTCTCATGGTATTCTATAAGATTCCTCAAGTATTTTGATCCACTACTAAGGGGCAGTTATGTTGGATATATAGGCATCACCCACTTGATGTTAGCGACACATTCAGGAAAATCTGATGTTTTGCCCAATAATACTAACTGGTAGACTATTTCCTTTTTTTAAAAAAATATTTTAATATGTTACTTGTCCACCCAAAGCCCCCAATGTCCTAAAAGGTAAATAAGTCAAAGTAAACTACCTATGTGTAAGTAACACACAATCACATTAGGAAGTAAAATAATCTAGCTATCAATTATCGATCATCACTCGATATATTTATTCCCATACAGTTGTTTATGTGTGTGGAAACATACTACAGTAGCCTCTCAGTATAGCAGGGGATTGTCTCCAGGACCCCCCCAGATACCAGAATCTGTGGATGTTCGAGTCCCTTATATAAAATGGCATAGTATTTGCATATAACCTACTGCACATTCTCCCATATACTTTAAATCATCTCTAGATTACTTATAATACCTAATACAAGGTAAATGCCATGTAAATAGTTGTTATGCTATATTTTTTAGGAAATAATGACAAGAAGAAAAGTTTGTACATGTTTAGTACAGACGCAATCGTCATAGGCCTTCAAATCCGCGTTGGTAGAATCGCGAATGTGGAACTGGGGATAGAGGGTCGACTATACATGTTCCCTTTGTTGACACTTACCTGGTTTCCAAAAAAATCTACATGTGATTCTAGCAATTGTATTTGGAAGGTAATTCAAGATTTTTCTCACACATTATTTTGTTAAAAGTGAGTGAGTTTGGGGCACATACATTTTTTCTTTGTAAACATCAGCCAAAAACATTATTTTGAGAAAGGTGTACATTCCGTGAAATTTGGGTACTATAAACCAAAATGGGTTCTACAAAGAAAATGTTAACTGGAAGATACTCTGGAGAATGTGCCTATATTCTCTCATGTAACTTTTCACAGTTTCCAGCAATTAATTTCCCTCCTTTCACAGACAGAAAGTTGAAGTTCAGAGAGCTTGAGTGACTTGCTAAAGGTCTCTTGTATGCTAAAAGTGTCCATAAATATATTTATTGATTTTACTGAAATTCATTTATTTAATTTGCCTTGATATTTTCAAGAATCTAGAGCTAGCTAAATTACTCCCTTTCATGAAGAATCTTCTTTCTCCAGTCATTCCTAGTGTTTCATTTCTTGTGAATACTGAATAAATATTTGCTGACTACTATATATTCAACCCCTTTGATCCCTTTCGCTTCAAAAGGAGAAAAAGTGGTAACTCTGGTTTGCCCAGCTTAAGAGAAAGAATAGTAACTTTGCATTCCACATATAGTATTGTCTTTCCTATAGCTAAATTATATTGCATACCTTTAAATCCATGTAATTTCCATGTATTTACATTCAATTTCCTATCTTTTAAAAGTGTCCATATTCATATTTTACATTCTCAACAACTTTTCCTCTGCAACTTTGTATCCCTCTCTCTTTTATTTTTGTACTATTACCACAAATAATATCACCTTAAATTGTGCAAAATGAAGTTGTTTTTTCAGTTATTCAGTTTGGATACAATTCAATAATTTCCATCAAAATAGTTACTTGGAAAGTCATTCCAGCTGCCATTACCTGTCTGAACCAAAGGCATCATTCTATTATCATTCTATTTTCAGAAACTCAATTTCGTAGGTTTGTGTGAAAATCCTGGTTACATAGTGGCAAGCCTGCCTGGACCTTCCAGTTAGTACTGCTTTTTACCAGACAACAGGGAAAAATTGTCTTACATTAGCAATATTTTTGATAACTTTAATCACGTTTGTCTTTCTAAGTACCTGGAATACTCAAAACGAATGACTGATTCATATTGACCTGCTAGCAGCTAACCACGTAAGTGTTTATTAGAACGGTGTTCCTGAATTCTCTAGAAATATAAGAGTTCAAGGTGGTTTTCACTTCAACCATTTTGTTCTTTTCATACATAAGGCTGGGAAGTTCTTGAGGGTGTTTTCAATATGCTAATTTATAGGGAAATGCAATGTTTTTCCCATTGCTAAAATTTCTGGAACTTTTACTTTTTCAAATGGCCCTCAGGTCTAAGCCTATCCTTTGTCATGTAGAGAAGAGTGTTTTTAGTGACTTTTTGTGTTTCTCAATATCAAACATTCATTAAGAACGGATGGTTTATTTCTAAGTTTAGAAACAACTTCAGGTTAGATATTACTTTTTCCTTCAGGAAATTTCACCAGTGCTCTCCTAAATGTCCAGACATCCATTATACTTTTTTCTTTTATATTTACTCAAGAAAATTTATCGTTTGATTCCTTGGCTTGTCTTCTTGGACTTTCGGTTGTGTGCAGGTATCTGCTCCCTCTTTCAGTATGAAGTTTTGCCGATTAATACATCAGCTATGTGGTCTGAGGGCCACATGAAATTCTTTAGAGCCGTTTTCCTTAGGCTTTCTATGCATAAATCATCTTTACCCTTTTGAATGGAAAATTTCATTAAAATTAATAGGTTTAATTTAAAGTAAATTATTTAAATTGGTTAGTTAAAAATTTTGACAGTCACAATGTATCAATGCATATTGACTCTATTAATACAATTTTCCTGTTTGCTTTGACCTTTATTTTTCTTTACTCAATTGAACAGATATTTTTGAGTGCTTACATTGTGCTCGGAAGTGTAGGAGATAAAAAATGAAACATAAATCCTGCCCTCTGGGTTTAGGCGTATACAAGTACAATGTAAGTATTAAAGTGCTGCCACAGAAGTATATATAAAAGTCTCGAAGGAATAATGACTCTTTTTATGTATGTGACCTTTACTTTCGTATTTGTTAAGGTTACGCTGCTGCTTTAACAGAGAGATGCAGGAATCGCAGTGTGTCAACAAAATTCATGTTTCTTTCTTATTCAGAGTCCAATCAACGTAAGGATGGGGAGGCATTTGGGATTCTGCTCCATACGTCATTCAGGGTTCCAGGCTTCCTCAACATGTGGATTTCAAGGTCTGTGGGACTTGATATGAAAGAGGAAGACAGGGAGAAAGGGCCTATGATAATATGGGTGATTTTAAGGGTCAGACCCGAGAGTGGCATGCATAATGCTACATTCTGTTGCCAGTGTTATTGGTTGAATTGTATCTGCCAAAAATTCACATGGTGAATCTTAACCCTCAGTAACTCAGCATGTGACCTCATTTGGAAATAGGCTCACTGTAGATATAATTAGTTAAGGTGAGGTCACATTGGAATAGGGTGGGTTCCTAATCCAATACGACTGGTGTCCTTATCAAAAGAAGAAATTTGCAGACATGCACACAGGGAGAATACTAGGCACACAGGCAGAATACCATGTTAACATGAATGCAGAGACCAGAGATGCATCTGCAAGTCAAGATTGCCAAAGATTGCCCCAACCAGTAGGAGCTAGCAGAGAGGCGTGGAACAGATTCTCCCTCACAGTCCTCAGAAGAAACCAAGCCTGCCAACTCCATCTAGGACTTCTAGCCTCTAGAAATGTGAGACAACAAATTGCTGTTGGTTAAGCCACCCAGTTAAAGCCAGACCATCATGTGATCACATCTAAAAGCAAGGAATCTGGAAACTGTAATCTCTTTTTTACCCAGGAGTGTAAAGGAAAACAAGTTTGGTGAACAGCTAAATGGTCTCTGTCCCAGTCTGCCCTGCTGGGCACCTCGTAGCCCTTTCACCCTTCCTCCCACATAGGGAACGTGATCACACCCTCTCCAAGAGAGAGAACAGAAAGCCCCTTCCAATCACTGCAGGGGGCTGACAGTCCAGGGTCTCTAGACAATGCAGTGCTCTTGATTCAGGTTGGGTGGGGCTTTTCATGGTCTACTGACCTATGAACTATAAGACAAATTATCACCTCCCCCATCTTTCTGCCCTCCCTCACCCAGAAACAGTCGGGATCCAATCGGGAGTCAGAAATCACACCAGCTGTTTTAAGAGAGTTTAATACAAAGTATTAATAACAAGGCTTAGAAGAACTAAGGAGTCAAAATAAGAGCTCTAAAGGGTCACAGAAGTAGCAGCTACCATTGCTAAGGCACAGGGAGTAAAGGAAAGAGTGTTGAATTATTAACATTTAGAAGCTTAGAGAAGAGGCTCTGTGAAGCTGAAATGCAGAATTCAAATAAGAGATGCTGATCAGCCACTGCTGGTATCTGTGTTTGGAGGAAGGGATTCTGTAGTGCTAGGACCCCAACCTTTGAGGAAGGGACATTGCTCAGCTGGTGTTGTTTTGACGCCTCTGAGGAGCTGCAATGAGGCTGGTTCTCTGTGGGTTGGAAAAACTGCAAACTGGATTCGATTGCTGCTACTGCAATGGACTGCCCCTTCCAGTGTGGAAAACTGAGGCTGGTGTGGCACAGACAGAAACAGGAAGCAAACAGGAAGGATAGTGTCCTTCTTCTTCTTCCAGTCTTCTGGTCTCCTGCGAGTATGCCTTTTTGGCATAGCTTAACAGGGAACCGGCTAGGCAAAGCAGAAATGTGGTTTTCAGAGTCTCAGGGCAACATTACAAAGCAGATATAGGAGGGTGGGTTCAAAGCTGAGAGACAAGATACCCACACTCAGCTTTCAATGGTGGAGCAGACACAAGACAATGCAGTAAAATCGCCCATTCAGAAAGAGAAGAATGGGAGACCCACAGCTGTCACTGGTCCATAACCAGTGAGATTATTCAGTCAGCTCGGCAGGATATGTGAAGACTCTCAATGTTAGGAATGGGGGAAATTCCTTAATTAGACTCCCATTCCCTGATTAAGGAAGAACTTGACTGCCCATTTGTGCTAGCAATCCCCACGACCATCCCAACCTTAGACAATTTACTAGGACTACTGGGAATCAGGATACAACCATACTCATGGCTGTGATTTAGTACTGTGAAAGGATACAAAGCCAAGTCAGCAAAGAAAAAAGGCACAGGAAATGGAGTCTGGAGGGAACCAGGTCCAAGCTTCAGTGGACTCACACAAGACGTACTCAATTTCCCCAGTAAGCTGTGAGAATCCATGTGAAACATTGTCTAGCAGGGGACTCATTAGAGACCAAGTGCCTAGGATTTTTGCTGGTGGTTGGTCATGTAGGCACCCTCTACCTAGCACATACCAAAGTTTCAGTCTCCCAAAAGGGAAGCAACTATTTAGTGTAAATCATATTGTTTCACAGACATGTTAGGCACAGCAAGCTGGTCTTATCAGGGGTTGGTGGGAAGAACTCTCCTGAAATCTATGTTTTCAGACACCAGCCAAGGGCTAACCTTGCAAACAGGCCCTCCTGGGGTCACAGTCTGCGCCCGCTATGTTAGCTCTTTCCTGCACAACACTGTTGTCCGAGACACGTGTTCTATGCTATAGAGATGCTCAGTATGTACACCTCCCAAGTTATCACGTGACAGTTGGACCAAATGTTTTTCTACTGCACATCCATATTTGCAGCCTCTCTGATACCAATTTCTTCACCTCCCATCACCTCATCACCAAGCAGTGGCACATATTTTACCTTTTTTTTGTCAGTACCCTTTTTTTTAAACCAGATTTTGTATTAGTTCAGATTCGGTCAGGAAAACAGAAACATCTTGAAGTGATTCAAGAGGGAAGGTGTATTTGTGGAACAGTATTTAATAGCGTAAGTTAGGTGCCTTAAGTCCATAGGAAAAGTAGGAGCGTTTAAAGTTAGAAAGGCTGCTTCTAAACCTTGGGTTGATTTCTAGTTTTCAAGGAGTCCAGAGATTGCAGGATCCAGAGAAAACCCCGGGGTGATGATCGCCGCCTCCGGTACCAAGCTGGACAATGGCCTAGAGAAGACTCAGAGGCCACTACGAAATCTCCTATCTGCCAAAACTCCCAGCGCTTTCAACTTCTCCTAGACAAACAATAATTTGACTTTTGCTTCTCTTTTACCTTCAGAATCCCATGCAAGAGACTCTCATTGATGAGATTCTTGGAAATTTAGCTCCAATCTTTTAACTCCAATACAGACCATGGAAGGGAGACAATGACAAGTTACGAATGACAATCTAAACAGTAGTTTTTATTGTTAAGTATATGTGCATTCACTGTATTTTTATCAGCATGCTTTATAAAATGAGACTTCTGCAGCAATAAACTAATGGAAAAAACTTTGAAGAGTAATTAAACCTATCAGTGAGTTAAATGATACTTAACAGGTTGACAAAATAGGTAAAATTCAGACCATTATAAGGAAACAAAAAGGTTTTATATCATAAAAAGTAAAATTAAAATTGATTAATGTATTTCACAAAGCTGAATTCTGTGAATGCAAAGCATTTTATGCAACATATTAGTAGAACTGCAATTGTGAAATTAGCCTTAAGATATTCATATGATATTAATGGGAAATGGTATTTTTATAGAAATGTGAAGTGGTAAGCAGTTCGTGAAAGGAAATTTTTCATAATCTATTTCCAGTATAAAACGTTTTTAAAGATTCATTTCTTTGGTTTCTAATTGGTCACTTTGACCTATTTCTATAATCTTTTTATCATAGTAAAAATATGTGTGTTTTCTGTGTATGTAAAAGTTTTCTAGAGATTCTATATACACAATTGAAGTCAGTGCTCATTTGCATATGTCAAGGAAATATTATTATAATTTGCTTTATTCATTGATCTAGGAATTGCTGTAACAGCGCTTCTCTCCATCTTTAGTGGAATGAGTGACTTTTACCTGTGCTTGATGTTTTCCCATTTTCCCATTTGGTTACCTTCCACCCTCTCCTCCCTCTCCTGTGCCCTGGGCAGTGGACCTCCATGGACCCCTTCCATGAGTTTTCTCGCCCTTGGCTGCCAGTTGGATTTAGCCAGTGTGAGGCACTGGCAGCAGGAGATGGACGCTTGGGATAAAAGTTCCGGCTATTTATTTCTCCAGGCAATTCGCCATCAGTCCTTTCAAGCAGCCTTCTCCATAGAATTATTTTCTCTAGATTTCAGTAACTGCTTCATCGTCAGATCCTTCAGGCCCAGGGGTGATAATAGCTCCCTGGGGAGCTGCACTATCTCCTGCAGTATCTCTCCCATAAACCCAAACCACACCTTCGTCACTAGTCCTTTTCATTAAACTCTCTTCAATTAGCAAGTTTCAATCTGTTTTCTGTTTTCTTCCAAGACTTTGGCTAATATAATACCCTTTGCAAGCTATGCTATAGAAAGAATTGCTATGACTAATGAAAAAGATACCCATGCTCTAATAAAACTTGGCTTCAGCAGTTTTCTAGATTTATGCTTTAAGGTCTCTGTGAGCATACCTGGCCTTGAAGCCAAGACTACAATATAGCTAATATTCAAAGCGCGATTAATTCATCCCTTGTTTAATCTGTCAACAAATATTTCTCAAACTCTTACGCTGCGTGCTGACCTATGTTTGCTGCAGATAAGAGTATAGCAGTCTAAGGCATGGCTGCTGCCCTTAAGATGCTTGCTTTCTTCTCGGAGTCTTTCAGACCCTTGTTTTTAACCCCTATCTGTCACTAGTCTAATGAGCCATATTACATATATAACGAAATTTAAAGCACTTATTAAATAATGTAACATTCTAAATAATATACATATAAAATAATAAAAATTGTTCATTTTCCCTATCTAGTAAATGAGTTATTAAATCAGCACGTTAATCCTTACTACCTTTCTTCAGCCAACCTGTCCATTTTGGAAGAAAGAAGTTATGGGGAACAGAGAAGATATGATATTTTGTTATTCAAAACTTAACTGTAGTGTGCCATTTCTCCACCTCCATCCAAGGCCAAGTAGAGCACAAACTGGGGAAAAAAAGAGTTTAATATTATCCCTGCCTGATTTTTTATAGTAATCGGCACCAAGTTTTTTAACACCGCAGGATAAATTTATCAGTCCTTTCTATGTGTAAACTTACCTGGTTTAACTAGGCGATTCAAATTTTATTGGGTAATTTTCTAATAGGCATAAATTTGACTGTTGAGTTATAAAATTTGAACTTGGATGGGTAGTTTTTCTGTAGATTTTCATACCAAGGAAAAACCTTGGAGTTGTCTGTTTTCCTCCTACCCCTTAGTGCTGCCTCCACTCTGCCACAGCCAATCACCACCAAAGTCCCAGAGATATTATCTTCACAATATTACACTCCTTGATGAACCAAATGTTTGCTGAGTGAGGTACTCTTCTACGTGCTTGGGATACATCCATGAGCAAAATGCAGGTCTTGGCTCTGTTAGAACAAACACTCCAGCAGGGAGAGACAATAAACAGTGGACATAACAAATAATTATACATATGTTAGTGGGTGAAAAGTGCCACGAAAAGTGACAAAGAAGAATAAAATGAGGGGGGACTTCCTCATTTTATAAATGTGGGTGGCTACAGGAGGTCTCAACAAGATGGTGGCATTTGAATAAAGATGTGAAGGAGGCAGGAGTGTTAGCCATCTGAGGATGAGGCATTCCATTCCAGGCACAAGGAAGAGTCTGCAATGACCCGAAGGTGAGAGCGTACTCGGCACATTGAAAAGATAGAAAAAACTGCTAAAGCGTGGAAGGGTTCAGAGGGTAAACAAAGTGCAGGTCAGAGAGATAATAGGGAATAAGATCATATAGGGCCTTGGAGGTCATTTAAAGAATTGTGGCTTCTACTCTGAGTGAGTGCAGAATCATTGAAGGGTTTTGAGCAAGGAGTGATAAGACTTATGTGTTTTAAAGAAAATTTGGCTGTGGTATTGGGAATAGGACTTGGTGGAGTAAAGGTGGAGTAGAGAGAATAGCTGGGAGGTTACTGCCATAACACAGGCAAAGGCATTGATGACTCAGGCTGGGGGAGCACATCCCCCAGGAAATAGCTGGGTAAGACTATGTTTCAAAGTTACAGCTGAGAGAGTTTACCGATGGGTCAGATGTGGAACTTAAGAAAAAGAGGAGTTAAGGATGACCGAAAGGATTTTGCCTAAGCAACTGGAAGAATGGAATTGCCATCCACTGAGAAGAGAAGACTGCAGATAGAAGATGATTGCAAGCAAAAGTCAAGAGTTCAGTTTTCTTTTTTTGATTTTTTAATTTTTTTTCCTTTTTCTCCCCAAACTCCCCCAGTACATAGTTGTATATTCTTTGTTGTGGGTCCTTCTAGTTGTGGCATTGGGACGCTGCCTCAGCATGGTTTGATGAGCAGTGCCATGTCCGCGCCCAGGATTCGAACCAACGAAACACTGGGCCACCTGCAGCGGAGCGCGCGAACTTAACTACTCAGCCACGGGGCCAGCCCCAAGAGTTCAGTTTTATACATGTTTGGTTCAAGATGCTTACTTTCCTGAGCCTTCAGTTGGCCTCCTGTGGATCTACAAAACAAAGTAACGAGAATCAACAGTAATTGAATATTTTACATATTTCATTTTACTTCTTCTTTAAAGCAACATGACAAAGATTTTATTATCCCCAGATACAAAAACTGAGGAATGACACGTATCACATTCTATCATATAGATATATCTTATTTTATTTAAAATTTTGCCTTGTTAGATTTTTAGATTTTCTCTAGTTGTTGTTATTGTATATATTACAATGCTGAGTATCTTTGGGTGTAAACTGCATGTTTTATTACTCTCTCTACTTCCTGAAGTAAGATTACTAGGTCAGAAGGTGATAGCATGTGAAATGTTCTGCATATGTTTGCAAAGTTCCTTCTTAAAAACGTGTGGCAATCTACTCCTTTTAGTAGTATTGAGGGCACTTCTTTTATCGCATCAATCCTACCACATCTGTGCATTTAATAGTATTATTCTTAAAAATATTTATTAATTTGTAGGTGAAAGAGTACCTTGTGCGAACTCTAATTTCCTTGATTAGAAAGTTTAAACTTGAAAAATTGATTCATTTCTGTTTTGTTTAGTATTCATAATGGTTTTCTAGTGTTTTCTTACCAATTAGTACGGATTCAATATTTTCTCAGATTTGTTGCAAATATCTTTAGCCCCATTTGTTGTTTAGCTTTTATTTTTTTTCAAACTACGAATGGCTTTTGGAGGCATCCAACGTAGTCTTTTTCTCTCTGTTAATCACAATAGCTTTTGATGGCAATTAATTATTGTGATTCTTTTAAGTAAACAACAAAAACCTGTTACTGGAAACACTAAAAAATGAGATGGAAAACTATTTTTGACACTTTCTGTCAGCACTTAAGTTAGTGATCAAATCTGCAGAGGCACCATTTCACCCAGAGAGAAGAGCTACGGCTGGTCAGCTAATGTAGGAGAAGGTGACAAGGATCTCATTGTAAATTGACGTAACAGTTCGATTCCCTCTGGTGGTATTAAAAGACTACTTTACAGGTGAAACAAACAATCTTACAATCAGAATCCTGGAGTTTGGGAACTTTTGTCCAGTTCAAAACTGCCATTTGCAAAAATTATAGTCACAAATGAGTCAAATTGGATTATTTATTAATTTTGATTTAGTCAAGTTTTAATTTAGTTATTGAGGATTGCTTGTAGTAAAAGTAAACACCATTAGGCTTGTGGATTACTCATTATTATACTCTTTGTAATACTACTTATCCAAGCCTTGCATATATTAGTGTAGATAACAGTGAATATATCCTAATAATAATAATTACAGCCAGCATTTGTTGAGTGCTTACTATGTGCCAGTCACTATTCTAAATGCTTCACACTTAATCTACACTCCAAATCAATGATACAGTTGCTAACAGTATCCTGGAATTGACACATGGAAAGCTCAGGTAATTATCTAAGGTCACACAGTGAGTAACTGGTGAGACCAGGGTACTGTTTTCGTTAACTCAAGTCTAGAGCCTTTCACCATATTGCCTGTAACTCTATTAAATTACATCAAAAGTTTCAAATTCAATATCAATATTCTCTCATAAGATTAAATCTAAAGAAATAGTTACATAGATGATTTGATGTTTCTATTTTAACCTTTTCATTGGTGATAGAATAACAAAGAAGTTTTTTAGCTTATCAATAATTTCAAATTTATCTAACCTCCATTGAATTATTTATATAGAAATAAATATTACTCTACGTTCTTGCTGTTATATTTTAATCTTTTGGCCAAATTAATAGCTTTCAGGTATTTCTTGAGAAATAAAATTGTTATTCCTTGATTATCATTATCATGATGAAAACCCCAGCAGATAATTAATAAAGTAACAGATATAAGACTAAAAGAAACCAGCTGGGGAAACTCCCACCATCCTCATTCAGCCAGTGAAAATGAAATTATAATTTTAATGAGCCTTAAAATTATCCATTTGGCTGAAAAGGAAATCAACTATACCACACTTGGTATTTTTTTACGGCTGATGTAGGCAAGAAAGAGTACATCATCAGTCTTTGGTATGCTGACAGATGCATGCAAATTTCAAGGAGGATTTCAAGAGATTTTAACTGCTCAAAAGTATCAGTAAAACAGAAAAGACAATCTTTTCTGACGTGTGACCCTTTTGATCTTTTGGTGACACCTCTAATCTTTAGTAACACAAAATACACACACACGCAAACATGAACAATAAACAAAAATCAATCAAACTAAAAACACAATATCTGAATTATTTTTTTCAAAGAAATAGAAGAAATCTTAGCCTTAGGGGGAAAATTCCACATCAAAAGTAATCTGCATTTCAGAATTAATTAATAAACCATAATGCTTAATCTTATTCACACCATTGACTCACTGTTTGACTTTGGGCAAATCAAACGAACTCTTTGGGTTTTAGTTTCCCCATCTGCAAAATAAAAGCTTTAGATTAGATGATCTCTAATTTCCTTACTACTTTGGGATTGACCTACAAAGGCATTTTGTGGTTTGCAATGACCTGGTTTTATTATTCCACTGTGGTGTAGCGTATCTATATTGGCACAGCTGAAATCACACTATATAATTAACAATTGATGTAGTAATATTATCAAGTATTTTTTTATTTGTCCCTTAGTTCATGTCCTTCTCACTGGAAATTGAAAACTAAGTTAAGCATTTCATCATAACTTTCTTAGAGGGTGATAGAAGGAGAATTAATGAGATAACAAGATAAGTACATATAAAGTGCCTAGCACTGTCTATGCCATAAGTGTTCATTAAACAGTACCTATTACTGTCATTAATAAGAACTACCTAGAGAGCTGAGGAAACTTTCTGGTTATTCTTCAAATGTTGACAAAGAATAGATGAGTCATTTCTTTACAAATTAGCTATTTGATATATTCAAATGTTTGAATGTGCTCCTCAGAATGATCTGGAGAAGGATAATGATGCTGCTTATTTCCCCCACATATTTCCTTTGCCATACTTTCCTTCATGATAACCCATTCACCAGCTGTTCATAAGCAACATTTACTTAGGTCAGAAAAAAATCCCAATCTGGTATTTGAACTCCAAGGTTTCCTGATTTGTTTGAATGTTTGATGTGTTCAATATGTTTATGAAGCATGAAAACATTCAAGTGGATGTTGTGGTGTTCACATTGAACAATTTTGTAGGTGAAATTTACAGCATAGGTTAGCACTCTAGTGCCTGTGTAAATTAAGCAGTAAGATTATAGGCAGGAAATGCCAATTAGTTCTGCTTCTTGTTTCATTTTACTTAGAACAGTTATTAAAAATGATTTAATAATTTTAAAACTTTGAAGACTTCCCTTTCTTATTTTGAAAGAAATAAATATCAAGTCTTTCTCATTGAGTTGACCTAATTCTATTCTTCATAGGCTACCCCACCAGATAATTCTACCTAGTCCTTCAGGAGTTTTCTGATGCAGATGAATTTATACACAGTTATAGCTAAAGAATTTCACTTAGGGTGAGAAGAAGAGAGTCCTACAGAGGAATGTAGTGCGCATATTCTCAAGGACCTGCAGGGTTTTTGTCACCATCTCCTCCCCTAATGTACTCTTGTCCATTCTTTCCTGGGCTTGGAGGTGAGATTTGCTTGTGAACAAGTGTCTTGACTCATAGCAGAATATCTATAATTCCAGTGGTGGACAGGAGCAATTTGGGCCAAGTAAGGAGTCCAGTAAAAAGAACCCATCAAAGGCCAGTGTTGCTGGGTTCAATAGCATTGATTGACAGGTGGAGGTGGAAGAATGATTGCGGAACTAAAGGCTACAACCCTACATGAGAAAATGTGCATGACATAATCCCAAAATGAAACATACGCATTTTTACTCCTTCCCCACACCACAATCAATTTTGATGATTGATCACTGTATTTTTTATTTTTCATTAGAAACTTTTAAATGTTCATTCTAAATGTAGCTTGGGCAGGAGAAAAAAAGTCAGAATCATGATCTTTATCCCCTATAGAATCCATTCTAAAGTCTAAACTTCATTTCCTAATATATAGATTTTTTTTGGCACTTTTGAAACAATCTTTTTCTAATGATTTGAGCTTTATGCACAGAAAGCAGTGATAAATTTCTATGTTTTGAATAAATTGATCATAGATAAAAATCAAGCGTTTTTAGGAGCATGGGTAGGAAATTGAATTTTAAGAGAGTCTGTGTCTACTATCAAAACATTTTTAAACAAGACAGCTTAAACAAGGTACCTGAGAAAACAGGACCAGTTGGCTATATTCAGCTTTACAGAGACACACAAATACATCCACTGGAAAAAACGTATATAAGTCTTCTGCATTTCCTTATAGTTAATTTTAAAAATAAGTATTGGCGTTGCCCTTTCAGGAATTTTTATAATTTTCTGCTTTGGCTGAGAATCTATATGACCTGTATACCACTCATGTGCTGAGAAATCCATAACATTGTTAACATCCATCTTTTTTCTCCAGATGTTCCATCACCTTCCCTCTGAGTCTTTATCTCCCTTGTGAGCAGAGGTTGTACAAGCTACTCTACCTGAAAATCCATACTTAGCTTGCTACCTATAGCAATTAATAAATTATTTTCTTTATCAAGCCATGAGGCCCTATATCCATTAATCCAAAAAGGTTAGATATGCTGTTTGTTCTTCAATACTGCAGAACAGATGATGAGTAAACATAAAAACAGAAAAGAAGAAGAAATTTCATTTTATGGAATGAGAGAAATAGTATAGACTTAAAGACCATTCAAAATGATTCCTGGCT